TGGGCAAGAGACCAGGTCTATCATCCAAGGATCAGCCTAGCCAAGGGTCAAGATTGGAGCCCCTCTCAGTGGTGGATCATACATCATGGCAGCCCATGAAACAGTCAAAAATGATTATTTCATCACTGAGTGTATCAAATAGGCCTCTGACACCCTCCCCTGACCTTAAGGATCTCCCAATCCAGTTGGGGGAACAAGATGGACAAAGAGGACTGGCCAGGACAGACGAAGTAACTCAGTGGTCAATTCTGTGGTGCTTTGTGCTATGGGAGATGAAGATGGGAAGATGATCAGAGATAATGAGGTGTAGTCAAGGAAGGCATCTTGGAGGAGGTGGGAGCTGGTACCAAAAAAGTGACAATAAAACTTTCTGCCCCTCCTGTCTCACAGGAGTTTGACAGATTTACCTTCCTTCAGGTGCTGTCCACCTGCGGCTTGCCAGAGTTCCCCCAGGGCTCCGAAGACTTGCTGGTTCCTGCTCAGCGCTAGCTGGCACCCAGTTATCTCTTTGAGTTATTCCCATTCTCACCACAGAACCTCAGGAGGAGGCTTTTCTCTTCTCCCCCAGCTCTCCTTAGCCTCGCTTTTCCAGCACCTTCTCTGGGTTAAATTTGTCAAAAGCAAAATCAAGAGGAAAGAGGAAATGAGAACAGGGATTGTCTTCTACCATCTTTGGATTCCCAATGCTCAGCATTTTAATAGAGCACTTAGGTGTTTAATAAAGGCTTGTTAACTGATTTTACATTTAAATTATCTGATGGATGCTGGCCGGAACCTCAAGGGACACTTGTTGACCAGGGCTTGCTTCTTTGTCATCTCCCAAGCATCTTTTCTCTGTTTCATCTGCCAGCTCTCTCCATCCTGGAGCAAAACTGGACAGATCACCTCATTCACACCAAGATTTTAGAAGCTTAATGTCATGGAAGGGAATTCAGGGTGACTGCGAAGGTCCCCTCCAACCCTGCAATTCTGGAACTGTTAAAACCAGCAGAGACTTCTTGGGATCATTTAATCCAACCCTGTCATTTTTCCAAAAGAAGGAACTGAAGCTCAGTGACTTGTCCAGGATTAGTTACTGGTCCCAGGTACCACAGCTGCAATTCCTCTCTTGGTCTTCTGACTCGGGACTCAATGCCCTTCCTCCCTCACTTCAGGCACACCCCTTGCTGTCCCATCATTATTCACCCCATGAATAAGGTCCCTTAGTGAGGTTGTGACAGAGCCAGCAATGGAAACCAAGCCAGCTCATTCTCAATCCTGGGCTTCTTCCTCTACACTTTGCTGCCTTTCAGAAAAATGGGCATTTTTAAAGCGCAACAGGAAAAGGACAATGCAAGTTAATAGGAGTAGTTAATAACAGCAGCAGTAGTAGCAAGTAGTTAGTAGTATAGTTAATAGTAGCGGTAGTAGCAGTAATAGGAATAGTAGTAGTTAAAGTAGCTAGTAGTAGGTAAAGTAGGTAGTAATGAATAGTAATCATAGTTGCTGTTATTGTTGAATCCTTTTAGTTGTGTCCAACTTTTCTTGACCCCATTTGGGGTTTTCTCGGCAGGGATATTGGAATGGTTTGCCATTTCCTTCTCCAGCTCATTTTAAGATGAGAAAACTGGGGCAAACAGGATTAAGTGACTTGCTTAGGATAACAGTGTCTGAAGCTCTTGACCTGGAGCTTTTTCCACTGAACCACCTAGCTGCCCAGTAGTAAGAGTAGTAGCTGTTAGTGTTAAAAGTAAGTAGTAATAATGATATTAATAGTATTAGTAGTAATAGAAGTAGATAGTAGTAAGTAGCAATAATAGTAGTTAATGTTAGCAGTAGTTAGTAGCAATAGTAGTAAATAGCATTAAATAGTAGTAAGAGTGCTACTTAGGGTTAGTATTAATTGGTAGTTGGTAGTAACAGTAGTAGATACTAATAAGAAGTAGTAATAGTGGTGGATAGTGTTAATAGTTAAAAGTAATAGTGATGGGTAGTATTAAGTAGTAGTAATAGTAGTAGTAGTAGCAATAGATGTAGAAAGTAGCAAGTAGCAGCAATAGTAGTTAATATTAGTAGTAATAGTAGTAAGAATGCTAGTTAGTATTAGTAGTGAGTGGTAGTTGGTAATAATAGTAGTAGATCCTAATTGTAGTAGTAGTGGTAGTTAGTGTTAGTAGTTAGAAGTAGTAGTAATGGGTAGCATTAAGTAGTAGTAATAGTGGTATTTAGTCTTAATAGTAATTGGTAGTTAGTTGCAATAGTAGTAGATAGTGGTAAGTAGTAGCAATAGTGGTAGTGTTTAGTAGTAAGTAGTAGTATTAGTAATAGGTAGTAGTAGTAGTAGTGGTAGTGTTTGCAGTAAGTAGTACTGCAGTACTACTACAAGACTAGTAGATAGAAGAGTGGTAATGAGTAGTAATCAGTAATGAAGTACATAGTAGTTAATGGTGGGTCCAAAATTTGTAGCCAACTGTTCTCACACTGAAATTAGTGCCCTTTCTACCATATTTCAGGCTAAACCCAAAAGGATGAACTCCTAAAGGCAGAGCTTCATTTAAAAATAGATGAGGATATTTTGGGGTTGAGTCAGTCAGTCAAAACACATTTCTCAACTGCTTACTCTGTGCCAGGCACCAGCTAAGCACTGGTGAGAACCCAGGAGACATCCCTAAGTCCTCTTCATAAACACGTTGACCAACAACCCTGACAGAGCTCTTCACATCTTCGTCCCTCTTTGCCTCACCTGGAGAAAAGTCACTATTTAGGTAATCATCTCAGACAACAGCCAACCCCTTTTGCTATGCCCTTGAGAAAATCTCATCAGTATTCAAGACTGGGAACCCTTTTAGTTTTTAATTCTACCCCTACCCCATTAAGGAAGGATGAAGGAGCTGAGTTTAACCGTGAGGGTCTAGAGAGGATAGAGCAAAGATCACCTAATCCCAGCCTCTTAGATTTGGAGGGCACTTCCCTAATCCTCTGACCTCAGAGGGCACCTTCCAGGCTCATCCATCACTCCTTGGACGGGTCTAAGGATTCACTTTCCTGAGAAGAGGCTGCATCTGATGGAGATTTCTCCACAAGCAGAGAGCATGTATTGAGTGTCTCTTTTCAAGTGGTGCTGTGCTCTGGAGACTCATTTTAGAACAGAGGTTGGCAGCCTTTCAGGAGTGGCTTGCCAAGACTTTATTTATTCATTGAGGTGGGTGGGGGCACCTGGTCCTAAGAAAGCGTTAGATAGTTAAGAGCAGCCCAGGTGTGAGGAACAATCCCTTTCCAAGGATCTCTCTCACGGGCCCAGTCCTCCTTGGTTTGGGAACGGCTGTTACAGGGGTCTCTTTTCTCCCAATTTGGTCTCAATAAAGTCACAGGGGTGAGCAACCTTTGTGAAGCTTGATTCAGGCAAACTGCTGCATATGAGGCTCTAGAGGGCCACATGTGGCCTTGAGGCCTCAGGTTCCCCACCCCTGTCCTGGGAGGTTCAATCGGTGAAGAGTAGATTTCATGGTATTGGCCAATCCTCTGTCCTAGGGATTTGGGAGACTGGGGGCAGGGGAGAAGCAAAGATTCTATTATGAAACATGGTTGTTACAGTGGAGAGTCAGCAATTAGCAGTGACATTGGGACCTGACACCTACATAGTGTTTAGAGGAAAGCACTTCCGATTTGGAATCAGAGGAAGGACCTGGGTTTGAATGCTGATGTCTGTACTTAACCAGTTGAGACCTCAATTTCCTTATCTGTAGATGAGAGATAATCATCAAACTTACCTCACCCAGCTGATGGGAGGAGCTGTCTACATTTAGCAATAAAGGGATAGAGAGGGCTTAAAAGGGGGAGAAGGATCTGTAGGGGAGAGGCAAGAGTGAAACCTGTAAAGGTTCCTGACTCTGGGAAAGGAGGATGGGAGTTTAATCCCACCTCAGAGGCTCACAACCTTTATGACCTTGTCCTAGCTGTGTAACCACCCAGGGCCTCAGTTTCCTTATCTGCAAAATGGGAGAATCTGACCACCTGCCATTTAAGGTCACTTCCAGTCCCACAGCTGCATTCCCATCATCTTGGTGTAAAGGAGTGTTAAGAAAAAAAGAACTGCTTATAGAAGTGAATGTTGAAAACTAAAAACAAATAAATTAATTAAATTAAAAAACAAACAAACAACTGACTTTTCCCTTGGATACTCTCTGACCTTGGAAGAATGCCTGAGGTCTCATTCGGGAGTCACTTGTGCAGGCACCCATCTACTTCATGCCCACACCCTCCTCTCCACCTATGTGAGTGCTGTCCTTCTTCAAGACCCACTGGAAATCCCGTCTTCTCCCCAAAGTCCTCCTCATCTTCCCAGCACCGACTGGGTACCAGTCATCTAACCCTTAGTCAAGGATGACTCAAGCTGCCATATCAATGCATGTGTCTTACCTTCAGATCCAGGTTGTAAGCTGCATGAGGATTGGTAAAAATCTTTGCTACTAACCACCGAATAACCCAGGTGTGCAATCAGGGGTGCGTCGCCGGTTAGTTGTTTGATTTCTAAGTAGTTGAGCGTGGTTCTGGTCTTGTACCTGGACAACATCTGACCTCATTTCCCAACCTCTCCCCATCTCATCATGGCCAGCTTGGCAGATCTGCTCAGCAGCAAAACACCTGAGGCACCCAGTGTAAAAGGGGCACTGGCAGGACCCAGCCTGCCCTTCCCCCTGTTTCCATTCAAACCAGAACAGGGACCTGGAAGACGTTCCCCTTCAGAGCACGTGGTGCCTACCCCCCGGGCACCTAGTGGATACAGACGGGGCCTCTTCTTGTCCCTTTGGTATGAGACCTGGGCCGAGGACCAGGTGAGGAGGTGGGTGGCATGTGGAAACACCAGGTGAGGAAGCCAAGATCAGCTAGCAGCTTTCCCTGCTGCCAAAACAAACTCAAACCCAAGGTTCACCCTTGCACAATAGAGTGATTGTATCTGTTTGATCTGTAGAAACCTTTGGGTGAAGGGGGCTCTTTTTTCTTTTCCAGAGGAACCAAGAGACATTTTCTGGACTTTCTCTTTCAAGAGATCTGCCTCCTTCCCTCCTTAGAGTAAACGGTCTTCGAGGTCTTCTTCCTCATCTCCTCACCCCCAAATACCTCTTATTCTCCAGCCTGTCTGGACTCTGAATGGGCAGATTGTTTGTTTCTGAGTACTGTCTGGATCTGGCTTCGGGTTTGGGGTAAGTGGGAAGGGAGATGGTGGATTTGGCTCAAGAGTGGACAAGCCAGCAGGACAGAGAGGACGGTGGCTTTGCATTGTGTGTGGCCTCAATCCTGTGGCTGGCCTGGCCTCCCAGGATTCCTGGTCCTCTTCCCAGTCTTCCCCACCCCTGCTGGCTCCAGCAGCTGACCAAGCAGAGGGATGGGCTAAAGCACGGTGGGATTGAGGCCCCCTAGATCAGTCTATCTGATCTAGCAAAGGAGGAGTAGGAGGAGAGAACAGGTGGTTGGGTGATAAACGAAGCAAAGGCCAAATAGAACCGAAAGGGGACTTAACAAGGTTACCAGTGAAATGAGGCTGCTGACCTCAGCCTAATGTAATTCAGTTCTGAGCAGTTTTCTCCTATCCATTTTTCAAAACCTCTGCTCAAGATGTCCTCCAGTGGCATCCTAACCCTAGGCTCTCTGGAGCCTGAGTTCTGCCAGGGTCTACTAATTCAATTCATTTAGAAGGTACCCTCTATATGAAGGGCACTGGGTTAGGTGTTGGGGAAATGGAGGCAAAGATGAAACCTTTCCTGCCTTCAAGGAGCTTATGAATAAAGAGCCCTAAGTTGCTAGAAGGAAGGAAGGAAGGAAGGGAGGGAGGGAGGGAGGGAGGAAGGAAGGAAGGAAGGAAGGAAGGAAGGAAATATGGAAAGAAGGAGGGAAGGAAGGAAGGAAAAATGAAAGGAGGGAAGGAAGAAATGAAAGAGGGAAGGAAAGAAGGAGGGAGGGAAAGAAGGAAAGAGTGCTGGGGGACTTAGCACAGTGCCTAACATATAGTAGGCACATAATAAATGTTTATTGACCGACTGAGGACAGTACATAGAAGCAGGGCAAAAGATAAGACCCCACTTCCTGACCTTACTAGATCTTCCAAGCTCAGTAATTGTTCAAGACCTGCTATTAAAGTGATGATGAAGGTGGTGGGCGTGGGGGTGGTAATGATGATGGTAATGACAGCTAGCACTCCCATAGTGCTTTTAAAATTTACAGATGGTGTTTCATTTTATCCTCATGGCAATAATCCTGGGAGGTAGGTACTATTGTTAGCCACACTTTACAGATAAAGAAACTGAGTCAGAAAGAAAATCTGACTTTCCCAGGGTTACCTAGATATTGTGTATGAGGCCAAGTCTTTGCCAAGAAAACTCCAAATGGGATCACAAAGAGTCAGACATGACTGAACAATAACAACAATAACCCTGTGAGATAAGCAGTGCTGGTATTATTCTCCCATTTTTAGAGGGATAGACTGAGGCTTAGAGAGGCGAATGAAGTGGCTGGCCCAGTCTCACACGGCTAATCAGTGTCAAAGGCATTATTTGAACCCAAGTCTCTGGATTTCCGAGGCCAGAATTCCTTCCCCTCCATGACAGGTAAAGGAAGAAGAGGGGAGGAATCCTAAAGCACTCTAAATCTTTGAGGTCCTTAGAATAAATATTATCCCCATTTTAGATGAGGGATTTGGAAACTGAGGCTCAGTTTCTAGTCTCCCTAAAGAGTGGCTCCAAGTGAAAACAGTCTTGCATTCATGGAGTTTCCAGTTCGTGTTGATGTGACTGGCCTGTAGCCTGTCTGTAGGAAGGCTACCTGTATTTGCATCCCGAGCAAGCGGATAGGGAGGATGCTTTATGGAAAGGCCTTCTAATCCAGCTGTTTGAAACTGAACGACCCTATTTAGCGGGTGATGCTTCAGTTGTGAGAGGGGGCTGCTGCTGCTAACCCTCCCCCCACCCTTGCATTGACAAAAGAGGCTCCTAAGCTTTTAAAGTAATTAACCAGGTGCGGCTCTGTTTACACAACACAGCCTTGGGGGAGGTGGGCGGCAGGGGAGGAGGGAAGCGTCTGCCTCCCCAGAGACACCATTTGCTTCTGGAGCGTCACAGACGGAGCTCTCTGAAATGGCAGGGAGGCTGCAGCCTAGGGTTTGGACAGGGGAGGAGCTCTGTGTGTTTATGGGCCTGTCCCCGGGCTTTTTTTTTCTGCATGGGGCTTGGACTGATCTGCGAGTCTCAGAGAGTGCGAGACCTCCCAGAGTGTGAGAGACCTCCCAACCTGCAGCAGAAGAGAAATCGCTTCTGTAACATCCCTAACCTTTGAACATCGTGTGAAAGCCAACTCACCAGGGACGGCTTGATGCTGAAATGTCTAGAGTCCTGGACCTGGAGTCAGTAAGACCAGAGTTCAGATCTGGCCTCTGAAGCTTACCAGCTGGGTGACCCTGGGCAAGTTACTGAACCTCTGTTTGCCTTGGTTTCTTCATCTGTAAAATAGGGATACTAATAGCACCTGGGAAGCTAGGTAGTGCAGTGCATGGAGCACTGGGTTTGGGGTTCCTGAGTTCAAAGGTAGCCTCAAACACCCATTAGCTGTGTGACCCTGGGCAAGTCACTTAACCCTGTTTGCCTCAGCTTCCTTATGTGTAAAATGAACTGAAGAAGTGACAAACCACTCCAGTATCTTTGCCACGAAAACCCCAAATAGGGTCATGGGAAGTCAGACATGACTGAAAATGATTCTACAACAGCAAATAGCACCTACCTCCCAGGGTTATGGTGAGGATTAGATGAGATAGTATTTGTAAAGTGCTTTGCAAGCCTTAAAGTGCTACCTTCCACTCTTTGTGACCTGGTTTGGGGTTTTCTTGGCAAAGATACTGACATGGTTTGCCATTTCCTTCTCCAGTGGATTAAGGCAAACGGAGGTTAAGTGACTTACCCAGGGTCACACAGCTAGTGAGTGTCTGAAGGTGGATTTGAACTCAGGTCTTCCTGATTCCAGGCCCAGCACTCTATCTACTGAGCCATCTAGCTATTGTAACCTTCCGGGGCAGCCTGGTCACCTCTGACATGCAGCCTGAATCTGTCTCCCTACAGTTTCTGACAGCTGGAGCCAAACCCATCGATTCTAATCCTTCTTTCATGATGACTGCTGTTTAAATCCCTGAAGACATCTCTCAAGTCATCCCACTAATTTTTCAAGTGAGGAAACTGAGGCCAGCAAAGGCGAAAAGACTTGTCCTTAGTCCAACATGTAGTAAATCAAAGAGGCAGGATTTGAATCCATCCTCTCTGACTCCAAATCCAGGGCTTTTCCCCACTAGACCCTGTTGCTTGCTTTTCCAGGATCAACGATTCCATTTTGTTTAACCGGCCTTTCTAGGGCACGGTTTTCAGTCCCTTCACCATCCCTCTGGACTTGCTCTGGGCACCTTCCAGTTTGTCCATGTTCTTCCCTAAATGTGGTACCCAGAATGGAATGTGAACAGATTGTGCAAGTCTGACTAGGGCAAAGGACTCTGGGAGCATCACCTCCCTCGTTCTGGACGTGGAGCCTCTGTCAAGTCAACCCAAGCTCACATTAGCTGGGAAAGTGGTTCACTTCTGGCCATGCTCCCAGTGTGGCAAGTCGACCTGACTCTTGGTCTCTGCTTCTGGTCCAGCTCCAAGGAGCCAGGAGAATGCCTTTCTTTGCAAGGGGTTGCCAAACCCAGCCCATTAAAAAAACCCAGAAAAGCTGAGAGACTTACTTTCTCTTCATTGCTCACCTACAACCCTCCATCCCCCATCTTCATGCCTCGGCACTGACCATCCTTCTCCCTTTGAGATGTGGTTCAGGCGCCATCTTCTGAATGAAACCTTTCCTGATTCCCCAGTTGCTAGTGTCCTCCCCCTCCCAAACTACCTCATATTTAACCATTATGTGTATATTAACTTTGTGTTTATACTGTATATATTTACATATGTCCTAGCTGTCTGCCCCATTCAAATGTGAGCTTTTTGTGAGTAGTGATCATTTCATGTTTGGTAACTTGTCCATCCCCTAGCTCAGTTACTGGCGCATGGTCAATGCTTAATAAATACTTGTTGGTTGGTTGATTGACCACCAAGGCCTCACAGGCAGTCAGTAGCAAAGCCAGTATTTGATCCCACATCTTCTGACCCCAAGTCCCATGTTCTTCTCTCTACCTCTAAAATAACCCTCAGGTAATTGCCCAAATTGGCTAGTGGCTTAGAGGGTGAGATAAGGTAACGGGAGATTCCTGGTTCTTAGGTCTAGCAGTTCCCTCCCAACCCTCCATGGCTAATGCCTTCCTTCTGATTACAATCCACTATCTATCTATCATCTATCTATCTATCTATCTATCTATCTATCTATCTATCTATCTATCTATCTATCTATCTATCTGTCTGTCTGTCTGTCTACCTGTCTATCCATCCGTCCATCTGTTTATGTCCCTATATATCTATCTATATATCTATGTACCTATCTCTGTCTATATCTGTATCTATCTACCTGTCTATTTGTCTGTATATCCATCCATCCGTCCATCCGTCTGTCTGTCTCTCCCTCTCTCTTTCTCTCTCCCCCATCTCCCTATCTCTATTTATCTCTCTATCTCTATCACTATCTCTCAATCTCTATCTATGTATATATCTGTCTCTATCTCTATCGCTGTCTCTATGTATTTTATATGCTTATAGTTGCTTGTGTGTCTCTCTTGTGTGTCCATTAAAATGTAAGCATCTTGAGGACAGGAGCCATGTTTTTGGCTCTCTCTGTGTCCCCAGATCTTGGCATAATGCCTGGCACTCGGAAACCCTCAGTGAATACTTGTTGACCTGCTGGCTGGAAGGCGGAAGCCGGTCATGGAGCATCAGAAGGATGGGATCCTGGGAACGGCGAGTGACTTAGGGAAACAGGACCTCTATACAAATCCTCCAGTGAGAGCGTGTTTCTCCTGTCCTTGGCAATCAAGTCAGGCTGCAGCTGAAGCAGCTTGAGCTGTGCTTGATGGGATGGAGGAAGTTACCAGAGAAAAAGGAACATGGGACTGTCATGTCTGGGTATTCTGCCCAAGGGGCTTCATTCTACAGGCAGGGATATGGCATCCATGCTGCCACCACCTATGGAACACACGAAATAAAACATGTGGGAGCAAACCTCTGCCCCAAACTAGGGATCAGACTGCTGTTATGTTCTCCCCGTGCAGTCTGGCCTGGGTGCTTTCTGATGCATTAACAGGGACACAAATCTGTCTTTAGATGAGGTGTGGGGAGGGACCAGATATGGGGTGAAGAGCAGGGAGGATTATGCCTTAGGGCCTCAGGGTACTGAGGACAGGGAGTGATCGTGGCCCCTTGGAGTCTAGTGGGCTTGGGTCTCAGACTGTGCAGTGCAGCTCTGGGGTCTCAGTGAGTGTGCAAGACACAAGGCTAGGTGGAAGCAGCTGCTGGTTGTTTAGTGACCTCCGCGGGCTCAGTGGGCTCCCCCCTTTCTTCCCCTCCTCCCACCCAGACAGAGCCAGATGGAGATGCTTCTCTAATGCTGAAGGTCTGAAACCTAATTAGGAGATTGAGAGCAATGGTTTGGAATCTCTTGGTGACTAGAGAGAGAGGGGAGAAGAAGGGGGAGTACAGAGAAAGAGGAGACAGAGGGGAGAGAGAGGGGGAGGGGGAGGGAGAAAGAGAGGGGAGGGAGGAGAGAGAGGGGAGGGAGGGAGAAGAGGGAGGGAAGGAGGGAGAGGCAGCGAGGGGGAGGGGGAGGAAGAGAGACACAGGGAGAAAGAAGAGGGAAGGAGAGGGAGAGAGAAGAGGGAGGGGGGAGAGAGAGAGCAGGGAGATAGAGAGGGAGGAAGAGAGACACAGGGAGAGAGAAGAGGGAAGGAGAGGGAGAGAGAACAGGGAGGGGGGAGAGAGAAGATGGAGGGGGAGGGGGGGAGGAAGAGAGACACAGAGAGAGAGAGACAGAGGGAGGGAGAGAGAAGAGGGAGGGGAACAGAGAGGAGAGAGAGAGAGATACCAATCTCCCCCATTAAGTGGAAGAAGGAACTGAGGCCCTCAGAAAGGAAGTGAGTGGTCCTAGGTCACACAGCCAGCCAGTGGCAAAGCTAGGTCCCCCAAGTTTCCATCCAGGGAAGCAGCAATAAGTCACCCTTCTCTCATCAAACACCTCCCACCTCACTCAGCACTCCCATCAATAAGCGGTGCCTTGGGGCAGCTAGGTGGTGCAGTCAATAGAGTCTCTGTTCTTGGAGTCAGGAGGACCTGAGTTCAAATCCAGCCTCAGACACTTAACACTTACTAGCTGTCGGCAAGTCACTTAACCCCGATTGCCTCACCAAAAAAAAATAAAAATAAGCGGTGCCTCCCTGCTCCCCAAGGCTATTGTATTTGGATGGAACCTCAGATAGCATCTCAACTAACTCCCATTGTTTTAGAGAGAAGAACACCTAAATTTGATGAGAAGTCAAAAAGCCTCCTCCTCAAAGGGCAGGCCTCTGGACCTCCAGTCCACTGGCTTGCACACACTTGACCATTCTGGTAACCACCCCAGACACACTCCAAGGGGTTAATATTAAAGGATTGCATTTTTACACTCTAATGCCCTTCATTACCTTCTCTAGAAATAACAATAGTATAGATTAAGTTCACTGGCATGATAGTAGTTAAAGTGATGGATACATAAACATTAGCAATACCTAAGGGACATTAGATACCTTCTGGGCGAGGACTTCTTAACCCTGTTTGTGTCATGGACCCCTCTGGCAGTGGGTCTGGTGAAACTATGAACCCCTTCTCAGAATCATGATTTTAAAGCCATAAAATAAGACTCATAGGATTGCAGAAGAAACCAATTGTATTGAAATACAGTTACCAAAATATAAAAAAAGACAAATTCCCAAACCCCAAGGTTAAGAACCCCTGATCTAGGCCAACCTACTCATTTTACAAAAGAGGAAACTGAGGCTTGAGGAGAGCCCTGAATTTAGAGTCAAAAGATGTGGGGTGACATTTCAACTCTTGTACTATAACCTTGGGGAAAGAGCTGGCTGTGGGATCAGAGACCTGGGTTCAAATGTCATCTCCAGTGGAGTTTTACCCTGAGCAAGTAGGCAGTTTGTCTTCTTGGGTTTCAGATCTGTCCTCCATAAAATGAGGGGGCTGAACTAGCCAGCATCTCCTCTGACCCTTCTGGGCTTCAGTTTCCTTATTTGTAATAATAATGAGCAACTAGTTTATATATATATATATATATATATGTATATATATATATATATCCTGTACATATGTGTACATACACACACATTGTGCCCCTGGGTAGCACCATAATGTATAGCGTGCTTGGCCTGGAGTCAGGAAGGCTCATCTTTCAGAGTTCAAATCCAGCGTCTGACATTTATTAGCTGTGTGACCCTGAGCAAGTCACTTAACTCTGTTTGCCTCAGTTTCCTCTTCTGTCAGGAAATGGCAAACCACTCCAGTGTCTTTGCCAAGAAAACCCCAAATGGGGTCACAAAGAGTAGGATGTGACTGAAGATGACTCAACCATCAAACATATGTACATATGTGTATAAACACAAAATAATAACAATAGCCAACATTTATATAGCACTTACCATGTGTCAGAAACTATGATATAGATAGATATATCAAGGTAGATAGATATATGATAGATATAGGTATCTATATGTATATAATCTATATATAGATTATATGACTTTAAGATTTACAAAGTCCTTTATATACAGAGTACTCCAAAAAACCTTAGTGCATTTTTAAACTATTAAAGCTTTCATGGCTTAAAACTGACCTAAGATCTTTGGAACATCCTATATATTATCTCATTTAATCCTTACAACCTTGGGAGGTGGCTGCTCTTTTTACCCCTTCCCTCATTTTACAGATAAGGAAACTGAGGCTAATAGAGGTCCATCAACTTTGCCAGGGTCATATAGCTAACACGTGTCTGAGGTAGGATTCAAACTCACATCTCCCTGACTCTCGGTAAAGGGCTTTAGGCCCAGTGCCAGCTAGCAGTAAAATGAAGAGTCTGGAATAAGTGACTTGGAAAATCTCCTCCAAGTAGTGAGTCTCCAAAGCCTCCAACTCACCAAAAGTAGCAGAGTGTGCCAACGGTAAAGGCGAAACTAAGATCCAGACCTTCAGACACCCCACCCAGGTTCTTTCCCCAACGCCACCCACTGGGATTCACCAGGGAAATGCAATACTGAGTTCGAGGTGAAGTTCATTCTCAAAGGCACCATTCCTTGTCTAGCCTGTGGGGTCCCCTGCATTTTTCCTTCCCCCCTTTTTCATCCTAGAGGTAGATTTATAAACACACATCTCCCTGTTGCTTCCTTTCCTCCCATAGTGCAGCTGATATGTCCCCTAGGTTTGGGCTCTGCCTGCAGGGAGGGGGTGGGGAGACCAAAAGTTTTGATTTTTTTGGCCTTTAAACCAAATCAAGAAGGGCTGGATGTTTGACAGCGATTTTAGTTTTAAACTGACCTCTTTCCTATTGTCAGTTCCTTCTCCAGCCTCCCTGGGGAGGTCGTGGAGGATACTGGTTGTTTTACAGATGTGGGAAGGAGAAGCAGGCTCATCTCTGTCCTCCCCGGCAGCAGCAGGATCTGCTTCCTCTGCAGAAGGACAGTGAGCTTCTTCTGTACCACCAGGGGACAGAGGGAGGCAGGCAGGCCCCATTTAGGTGTCCAGAGGGAGTTCTGAATCTGGA